ACAACATTTGGGTTGGGAAGAAGTACCTGCAATATTTGTGGATTAGCCTGCACCATAGCTCGCAAGGCTTGGAACTGAGACAAACAACACCAAATCGAGAGTTTAAAAAAACCACAATGTTTAATTGTGGGTTCGTTCATGCATAAATGCACACACACATGCACATGCAAATATATAGATAGAGAGAGGGAGATAAATGACCTGTTGGCTGTCACGCAGAAAATCAAGATTGGCTGCACCAGCACCACCAGCACCCACATTCGGAAGGCCCTGTTTCCGTAAAGGCATGTGTATCACTGAAAAATTCTTCCACCATAATTAATCACAGGTGCTGCATGATAAGTACCTGGGGAAAAAGGTTTAAAGGATTGGCATTAGGTCCGCTTGGAGGAGTGGATGCTGGTTGAGCTGATTGTGGAGGTTGTGCTGGAAGGTTTGCAACTTCCCCACTCACAGGAATATGGGCTACAGCTGGAACTTCGGGTTGCTCAGGGATACCCTTCAAGAAATACCAAATTGGCATCAAAAGGAAAAGATAAGAATAATCAAAGAGCAGGGATAACCACTGCTTTTTGGTTCTGAAAATCACCACTCTTATCAACTCTTTTTTCTACAATACTACTCAACATTGTTACCATTGTTGAAAATTTGATAGAGAACCATGATTTAGAAGATATATAACTCAGAGAGTAGAGCAAGTCCTGAATTTTTCATTATAATATCTCCACTTACAGAATAAAGATAGTCAATAGCTCTCGCTGGGTTGTTGAAAGCAGCACGAAGAGCACGTACAACAGTATCCCTGTCCCAAGTACCTCCACCCATATCCAGAATTTGCTGAATTGTTCCCTCCAAGTTAGTTCCAGCTACCAGATCAGATGCTGCTTGGCCGTAGGGATTAGATTCTACCCTGCTTCAACAATTCCACATAATTGTATTAGGAAAGAAAAGAATATATAAAGCCAGTGACGAACTTAATGAGGAAGGGGCGGGAGACATTGGCTACAGATCTAAAACTGAAAGCATCACCGGAAGGAACAAAATTACTCACTCTGTGGTAGCTGAAGAGACAGGAGCAGGTGTGGTAACCGAAGCAGGCCTGAGAAATCAAGAAAAATTACAAACAGAACATGTATAATGAAATATGAACATCATACTTTTGGTACAACTAAAACTTATACAAAACAAGACTCACGATGCTAAAGTTGGTATTGGAGCCTGAGGTGCCGTTAATGTCACAGTTGGAGCAGCAGAAGGTGCACTTGGCTGTGGTGCCTGCGCATAAAACAACACTCAGTAACTACACTCACAGCCCAACATAAAAAGATAAAAAAGAAAGCTTTAGTTCGTCCACAGACATGCATGCAAATAGATCAGGGTTACTGAGCTTGTTTAGTTCACTAAGTCTGTGTAGAAGGTTTTCTCTTTTTATAATCCCAGGCTCATAATTTTTCTTCTAAAGTCAAACAAGGAAATCAAAGTATATACACACACTAACTCTATGTTTAACAGTATCTCAGCTCTAACGGAACTAATATGTAACAGAAGCAATCCAATGTGTATTGAATGAAAAACTAATTATAAAGATAAATTGTGAAGAATGGAATTTAACATAAGACTATAGATGAATCCCAAGAATTTGAACCAAAGCATGTGGTAAACTCCACGCCCCTTCCACAGAGAAAACAAATCACAGAAAACAATGAAAAAAATATATGTCTTACCTTAGTTATAGTCGCGGTTGATGCACCTGAACCTTCACCAATCGAGCTCTTACTCTAGCATTGTTAGGTATATAAAGTAAGTCAAAACAACTTGTCATCATTCTAAACCGACAAAGAAGAGAAGATTGAGCAACATTATCTGGTGGGAGAAGGAATTTCAACACCACAAATAGTTGGCATAAATCAGATGCAAACGAAATAGGGGTATCAAATTGACATCACCAACTTCAAGTAAAACAAATTTTACATTAGGGAATGACAGGAGTTGGGCATAAACTAGACGTGAATAAACAGGAAATTCAAAATACAAGAATAAGACATTAGCACCAAATAGAAATTTCAAAAGAAATGAATGCCATACAATAATTTCCATTTCCATGATGGATGTTTAGCAAGACATTAGCTATAATACAAGCATAATTACTGTCACTGATTTATTATTTAATGGAAAATGTAGCACTCTAAACTATCGAATACAAAAATAAAAATACCTTAGTCAACATTATCACAACAAAGCTGTTTTCAGCAACTTTGTTTTCGTCCAATGTTGTGCTATCTTTAAGTACTTTTCCTTGATGAATTAGCATCTGTTGTGAAGCAGGATATACATCTGAACCTTGACTAGTTTCTATCTGTTTCTTCACATCAGCAACCTGGAAAGAGCAGTGGTTTTTTGTGAATAATGTAATTTGGATAAAGTAGCCAGTAATTATCGCAAGTAAATTTATAAGCACACCCAACCACATTTCCTGCATAAAGCAAGCTGAATGTACTCAATAATGAAGCAAAGTCTGCCATACCGTAGAGCTTGAAAATTGCGATAAACAAAGAAACGAAAGAAAAAAAAAATTGAACGAGTGATTTAACAAGGAAAGCGTAAATTCCCAGATTCCAATTCCACCATAAACCAAAAATACTGACAAGTGTTAGCAGCAAAAACCTAAGTCCAATTAACGTACACAAGCCAAAAACAGAAAAACCTGTTAAAGCTTGCACATTAAGTCTTTACCAAATTGCGAAGCAAATAGAAAATCGACACCAAAACCCAAGAAAACACTCCAATTACGATCATAATGCGCGATTGAAATTTTAAAAAAAAACACGGAATTAAAAAAATGAAAGAATTCAAAACGACTGAAGCTAACCGTGTCCTCAGGCTTCACTTCGACGTCGAAGTGAGTGCCCTTGAGAGTCTTGACAAAAATCTTCATCTTCTGCTAGTCGGAGAATCGCCGTCCCTACAGTCTCGAAGGCACTGATCTGCTGAAATGGTTTAAAGAAAGAAGCCGAATGCGCAAGTAAAGTGAGGCAAGACTAAATAAAGAAGAGAAAAACAAAGCCCAAATTTGCTGGCTTAAATAGGAGGGCTAGCGGCTCACATGTATACGCGCAGATGGCACAGAATGAAAAATGCGTTGGCTTTTTTTCATTAAAAAAAAAGAAAATTGCGTTTGGGTTTAAGATGAGCGGTGCAGATGGCAGCTTGTAGTTTGCGTTTGTTAAGGGAGCGCGTGGTTGTGTTGGTGACTGGTGAATATTGCGAGCTAGATTTTTGCGTCTGATATCCAAGGGAAGAAGCATCTTTGTGATTGACTCCAACACCGCCGATGCGGACCCTTCCAAAAGCCCAAATGGACAATGCTCGGCTCCTCACATAGGACGTGCCCTCTTTACAAAAAGACACATGTTTTCTTTTTTTTGTTTTGTTTTTACATATCAGTAATGGAGAAAGTTAGGAATCAGAGAATTTAGGAATCAGAGAACTACTGAATCAGTATAGGAAAAATCATTTCCATTAAGCTGTTTACTAAACATATGGAATTAGCAAAGGAATAGGGTTGATTCCCATTGTTTTTGTTTACTAATTTTCATAAATTAGAATCCAAATTAATTTGATTACTAAAATGCCCTGCACATTTTCACCACAGCACATATATAATTCTCAAATTGGCTAAGGAGACCAAACTAATCCAGCAAACCAGTAAGGCAGTGTAAACATGAGGACTCAATATGCTGAACAAGATGAACAGCAAGAGCCCAGTTCAATGATAATGTTAATAACACATTTGTCCAGAGCCAATTTCAAATGAAAAAAATAAACTCCAATAAATGTACATCTTTCACCTACGTAACTAGTAAACAAATCCAATAATAATAACCTGCATAATCTTCATACAATTAAATACGTAATCTTCATACTACCAAAAAAAAAGATATATAATCTCCACAAAAGTCTTCATCCATGACCGTACTTTGTTTTGTGATGAATGTGAAGACAAAAGATAGAAGAAGAAGAAGAAGTTAGATAGATAGATAGATAGATAGATAGATAGAATGACTTACATAGCATAAGGCGTTGCTGATGCTTCTGAGAGGTTGTGTTTGCAACGCTAACATGAAAAAGAAGTTGGAGTGTCTTGGAACTTCTTAGAGTGAGTTTTTTTTTTTTTTTAGGGTTTGGGGTGTTTTGGAATTATGATAAAGTGGTAAGGGTATTTTTGGAAGTTAATAAGAGAAAACAGGAATGGGAATCGTATCGACTACTCCCCCCCCTAGTTGATCTGATACCTAGTTTTGAGGGGATGTGATTACAGATTTTGAGGTGGGGCCCACTTATTTTTTCATTCCTGATTGCAAGTAAACGCAGGGAAGTCAGGAATGGAAATTATTCCATACCCATTACTAATACGTAAACATGCCCTTATACTCTCAGACCTTTGCTTATTGCTACTACCAATTAGAACCACTAAATCATATTTAAAAATTAAAATCATTTAAGAAAATAGAAATCACAAAAATAGAAAGAAAAAAAAAACAAAAAAAAAAACAAGATCACAACTTGGTTTAGACATTTCTTCAAACAGATTCGCTGCAACTTATAACCATTTATTTCATAAAAAAGATGTTTTTATATTACAAGGAGAAAAGATAAGATTATATTAGCTTACAAGGAGAAAGATAAGATTATATTACAAATCAAATAGATGTTTTTATATATTTATCAACATAAGTTCATTACAAGTAGGCTACTTTGATAAACCATATAAACATAAGAAATCCACTCATCGGAAATGGTTATGAAAAACAACCCCCAATATGAAGAATCTACCATGTATAGGAATTATGAAAACTAAAATTCCAAAAATAAAAGAGAAATTAAGAAAGGGAAATATTGTTGTTGGACTAACCATCCCAAAGGGAATTAATCAAATAGTGGGATAAGTTCACGGGAGATTTATGTTGTCGGTGCCCTGATATTTACGTGGCTAATAGATGAGGGTTTATGTTGCCGATAATCGGAGTTAGGTGGTTGTCAAAAGAAAAGGCCTCTCTGAGAGAAAGAGGGTGACCTGAGTTAAACTAGAACTTGGGTTAAAAGAGTTGAAAGGAAAAAAGGAAAAGAAAAAAAGAAAAAAAAACATGTGTCTTTTTGTAAAGAGGTCACGTCGTATGTGCAGGAGGAACGACTCCTGAGGTATCAGAGCCAAGCATTGTCCATTTGTTAATCTCGTTAATCAAATTTATATGTAATTCCTTCCAATTAGAGAGAATTTTTTGTTTTACCTCCGGAATTATGACCCTTGTAGAAATTAACTCCCTGAGTTAAAAAAAAAAAATCAATCAATTTAGGCCCCGAATTAATTAAAAATCATCAATTTAGCCCTTGTCATTAAAATTTTTTTAAAATTTTATCCATTTTTCCGTCAAAAAAATCACATGTCATTCACGTGACTTACTATTTGATTTTTATTTTTATTATTATAAAATTTAAAATAGTTAAAAAAATAAATAAATGAAAAGAAACAAAAAGGTGACTTACTCTCTCTCCCCCTCCCGTCTTTTTCTCTCCTCTGTTAGAGCACTTCCACCCATTTGCCATGGCAAAGGGCAAGGCAAGGCAAGGGCTGTTACTATTCACATGAATAGTGGCAGCCCTTGCAAAAGGCTTGTGGAGTTTCCATCTATTGCCATAGCAACCACAATTCACATGAGATATGAGGAGAGGAATTTGTATGGAGTTTTGGTGTGGGAAGTGAAGAATATGACTAAGTATTTATTTTTTTTTTAAATTCTGAAAATTCTAGTTTTTTTAAAGATTTTTTTTGTTGCTGACGTCATCATTGACATCAGTAAACCCAGGCTAGAGCACGGGCTCGTTTTGCCTTTGGGCTAGCCTGGTTTCGTGGGACCCAGTTGTTGCCCAAGCAGCTTAGGCCCGCTGGAAGTGAGAAACCATGCTTGGGCCCCCTCCTGCCCTGCCTTAAGCAACGGCTGGAACTGCTCTTATAGGTTGCGTGTTCCAATTATTCAACAATTCTACAAGAAATTAACATGCAAGATCACATTTAAGAGTGCAAAATCAAAATCAGCAAAACAAAGCAAAGGTCATGAACTTCTTTTCATCACTTATTACCTTGCCCCTCGAACCCAGATGTCACGTCCCAACCCACGAATTTACATAACCTTAGGTTAAGACTTGATTCACATCTTAATTATAGAATTTAGGCTTTTTATCACAAATAGTCCTTCAGGTTTGTGAAATTATCACTTTTCGTCCCTAAGGTTTTTTTGTGACACTAATGGTCCTTAACGTTACCCTCCATACATCAAAATGGTCATTGCCGTTAGCTTCCGTCAAATTTTCTGTTAAATTGATGATATGGCACATATGTGGCGCCCACACATCCAATGGTATAGAACTATGAGGCTTTAAATAAAATATTAAATATATTTAAAATATTTTAAAACTTAAAATCCATATAAAAAATTTAAAAAGAAAATTAAGTCTTTTTATAAATAAAAAAACTAAAAAACCTACAGCCATCCTCTGCGTTCTCCCTCTCCCAGCGCCCCTCCCCCCATCGCAGACCCACTCTCAAGCAAATTACAATCTTTTATTTTCGATTCAAATGCATTCGAGTACTCCAGCACTAATTTCTGAATCGAACCAAGTTTCTGCTCGTTGGATTTCATCTATCTGTCATATTCTTCAATCAATGTTTGTTTGGCTCAACCTCCTATACAATGCCCTGCAATTCCTTGGCTTTAGTTCTCATCACCAAGTTAAAGTTCAACTCTTTGGCTTCAAAATCCGCCAATCGAGAGGCCATTTCCTTCTTGAACACTTGGAGCTCTTGGAATTCCTTGGCTTAAGGTGCTTGATGAGTGGGTCTGCGATGAGGGGATGGCTGCAAGATTTTTAGTTTTTTAGTTTTAATATTTTTTTTATTTATAAAAAGACTTAATTTTCTTTTTAAATTTTTTATATGGATTTGTTTTGATGTGTGGAGGGTAACGTTAAGGACCATTAGTGTCACAAAAATACCTTAGGGACGAAAGATGATAATTTCGCAAACCTGAAGGACCATTTGTGATAAAAAGCCTAGAATTTAATAAAGACTATAACTAAAATGTGAAGAAACATTTAAATAAATAAAGTAAATATTTCACGTAGAATATTCAGCGAAAATGAGAACATCTGAAGTCTTAAAATTTTTACATTATTTTACAAGTTAGAACTACACGAGAATTCACTAAAAGAGTAGCTCATTATTCATCCACAAGCTATGTACACAATACACTATAGATATGCCAAAATCATCACAAGCTCTAGATTTCAGGTTCGGTACCTGCAAAATCTATTAGGGGGTGAGCAAAACCACAGCTCAATAGGGACATAAACTTGTTTACATGAAATTGATATAATTAAATTAAGTGACATACAATCACACAGCCAAATATCACATTATTAATAATAATGCATGAATTCTCTTCATCTAATCCCATTAATTCATATAACTGGACAAGTAGACCTGCACGTCCCATACCATCCTTATACCACTTGGTCCCGAATGCCCATTTATATGAACTAACGCTCATCTCAATCATCCCATAATTCCCCTTTTGTTAGTCATCTTGTCTAACTCCCTGTCGCCAATCCCGAATCACCCAATAAAAGCAATGTGCACTGTGGGATCCATGAGACCTGGTACCTGCCTAGAGTTAAACTCAACTACACAAAAGACTATTTCCATTACCCTATTTTCCATCATTATTTTCTTAACCCAACAACTCCAACCAATTTCCATGACATGATATAATTATGTCTTTCACATATCCCATGTATCTCACAACAATGTAATCATTTAAAACATCACCAATGTATATATAATTATGCCAACATTAACCAAATAGTTAACAATACGTAAACATCCAATATCAAGAACATTATACAATTTCAAGAATATCCATTATAATATCACACATAACATAGAGCTCACGAAATTTAATTAAATCAATCTTCTGTAAAGGCCCCCAAGAAACCCCTACCTTGACACCAAA